CTTTATACAGTAACATTATCCTCTCTGATCCGTCATCCAATATAGCGTATGTGTCAAGTTCCTTCTCTCCATTTCTCAAGATCACTTGCCTGACCTTCAAAAGAACGTTGCTGCCTGCAGTTGGTCTGTCCATATACAAAGTCTCTACTTCTGAGTTCACAAGACAACCTTTTTTTGCTGAAGCTTGTGTTTCATGTTTACCTTTGGCATTGAAGTCGTGCAGTATTTCTAAATATCTCTTTTCACATTTGGCTTTAAGATTGCATTGTGAGATCTGGTGGTCACGGCCACACCTAAAGCACTTCTGATTTGACTTCAGCCAAGACTCCACTTGATCTCGATTCAGCAGTTTGAAATTAGCGCACTGATTGAAGTAATGCTGCACAGTGTTGCAGAAGGGGCAGTACTTTGTCGGTTTCTCCTTCTTGACTGCTGTAACACTTGCTGGTTTACTCTGTTCGCCACCATCCAAGACAGTAGCAAATCGTTGAACCGGCTTGCAATTCCTTTGCTGTTCTCTCTGTGGCTGAGAGTAGGCTCTGCTTACATTACTAACGTACTGTGACTCATCCTCTTGTATTCTGAGCTCATATTCAAGCCAATCGCTGAGTTCTATCAGTGTTGGAACTGGGTTCTGAATGGGGTTAACAAACCTTCTGAAGTTTGCTTTAAGATCATGAGGCAACTTGGCAAGGAGACGTGAAACATGCAACCCACATTTGAGCTCTGTCCATCCTTTAGCTCCAAGTTGGTCCAGCATTCCAACTCATGCACGCACATTGAGGGCAAACATTCTAAAAGATTTAGTGTCACCACTCCTGATTTTTGGGCCATCCATAAATTCTGCAATTCTTTGTAGTGCGAGTTGATGTGGTTGACCATAAAGTGCAGTTAGAGACCTTGTGGTGTTGGTGTATGGGTACCTGCTGTTGACGTACGAGTCTGCAATGAGCAAGGCATTCTCCTGTTTCAGATGATCGAGTATTTGGTACTTGAAACGTTCTGCAGCCTCGGCAGGTAGCAAATCCTCCAGTGCAATTTTGAGTCATGCAAACTCTGGGATTGTCACTGCAAAAATGAGGAATGGTGGGAATAGGACCTCTGTAGGTGGGCTCTACATGAGGATATGGAAGAGAAGGAGGGCGCACTGGGTGGTATGGCTGATATGTCTCAGGCTGAGCGTAATCTGCATAGTGTCGTGGGGTCAAGAAGCTTGATTTGTCTGTAGGATTAGGAGCTGATTGACCATAGTTGTCTTAGTGTCTCATGTGCATGGTGAGCTAATGCAGTGGTTTTCAAAGTGGGGGCCGCGGCCCCCTGGGGGGCCGCCAGGGGGCGCTAGGGGGGCCGCAGCAAGTTGGAAGAAAAAAAATGTAAGCAAAAAAAAAATTATATATTTTATAAAAAATTTTAAAAAATACAAAATATATATTATATATTATAAATATTATAATGAAATAGCATTATAATAATTTGTCGCATATCTGAACATTAAACTTTTAATGCTAATCTTTTTGATTGGCTGGTACGCCATCACGTTATCTGTCAGTGTAGCCTTGGTAACAACCGCCAGTGCTCAGCTGTTCAGCTATTTAGCTGGCTAGCTCTATCAAAATGGATAGATTTTTCAAAAGGAAAAAACCTGACGAGCCAGCTATCGAAAGCTCAGATAAAAAAAATCAGAAAACGAACTCCTGGCCGAGTAAGACTCGTAGGTATGACGCATCATACATAAAGTATGGATTTACCTGCTTCACGCAGAAAAATGGACACGAGTGCCCCAAATGCGTTCTCTGCCTCGAGATCCTCTCCAACGAATGCTTAAAACCATCGAAACTTCAACGTCACCTGAACCTGAAGCACCCAGCAGAGGCCGAAAAACCAATCGACTTTTTTTAAAAGAAAGGAAGAACATTTGACCAGGCAGGCAGCAACATTCGTGCAGCAAGCTACTGTCCCTGAGAGAGCCTTGAGGGCATCGTTTTTGGCTTCCTTTCACATTGCGCGAGCTAAAAAGTCGCACACAATTGGGGAGGATTTGATACTACCAGCTACCCGAGACATTGGTAAAGAGCTACTGGGTGAGGATGCTGCCAAGAAAATTGATGCTGTACCACTCTCTGATAACACTGTGAGCAGACGTATTGGAGAAATGGCTGAGGATGTGTCTGCTCAACTGTTGGACCAGGTGAGAGCTAGCGAATATTTTGCACTGCAGCTAGATGAGAGCACGGATGTGGCGAACGCGGCAGAGTTGCTTGTGTACATCAGATTCATTTCCAAAGAAATGTTCGTTGAGGAAATACTGTTTTGTAAAGCACTGGAAAGTAGAACCACCGGGAAAGAGATTTTTCAAGTTCTGGATGAATATATTAATTCAAATGGACTTGACTGGTCTCGTTGCGTGGGTGTGTGTTCTGACGGGGCCGCGGCTATGACTGGGAAGAACAGTGGGGTGACGGCTTTCATCAAACAGAAAGCCCCGAATGCGGTGTTCACGCACTGTATGCTCCATCGAGAAGCATTGGTGGCTAAACGGTTGGATGATGAGCTTAATCAGGTACTACAGGACATAATTCACATTGTAAACTTTATTAAAGCCCGCCCCCTGAAACACAGACTGTTTGCTCTTCTTTGTAAAGAAATGGGAGCCTGTTTTGATGGATTGCTGCTTCACTCAAACGTACGCTGGCTTTCACGCGGCGCAGTTTTGAACCGTGTCTATGAGTTGCGGAGGGAGGTTGCAGAGTTTCTCTTGTCTGAGAAACATCAGCTGGCTGACCGTTTTACAAATCCAGCCTGGATTCTCAAACTTGCATATATGTCAGACATTTTTTGTCATCTGAATGTGCTTAACCAAAGCATGCAAGGGCGTGACACATACATCGTGCATATGCAAGACAAAGTGCGTGCTTTTTCCCTGAAAATTACACTGTGGTCAAACAAGCTTAAGGAGGGAATTACAGAAATGTTCCCACTATTACACCAAGAGCTGCTGTCATCTGGTGGTGAATTGGACACAATTTCTCCACTGATACAATCCCACCTGGAGCACCTCCAGGGATATTTCAGAGACTATTTCCCTGACCTTGACAGCACTCATCTAAACTGGGTAAGGAACCCATTTGCCCCTGATGTAGGCACTTGTCTGGACTTAAAATCACAGGAGGAGCTGATTGAGATGACTACTTCATGGGATTTAAAAACTAAATTTGAGTCTCTTTCCCTCTCTAACTACTGGATTTATGTAAGAAATGACTTTCCCATCCTAGCTGAGAGTGCTCTGAAATGCCTTCTTCCTTTTGCAACCACTTATTTGTGTGAGTCTGGATTTTCAACTTTAAAAGTACTTAAAACAAAACACAGAGCATGTCTAAATGTGGAGAGTGACATGCGTGTTGCACTGACGGACATAAAGCCCAGGCTTGACAAACTGTGTAGGAGCCACCAGGCCCACCCATCCCATTAATATGCTCTCTCACACACACACACACACACACACACACACACACACACACACACACACACACACACAATGTTGTTGAATGTTGCCACCAGGCCCAGCCTTCCCATATGTTCTCTCTTCTTCTCTCTCTCTCTCTCTCTCTCTCTCTCTCTCTCTCACACACACACACACACACACACACAATCTCTCTCTCTCTCTCTCTCTCTCTCTCTCTCACACACACACACACACACACTCTATCTCTCTCTCTCTCTCTCACACACACACACACACACACACTCTCTATCTCTCTCTCTCTCTCTCTCTCACACACACACACACACACACACACACACACACCATCTTGTTAAGATCTTTTTCCATTCACTGACACACAGATACAATATTGAATGTTGAAATTACTGTACAAGATATGAAGATATGTGAATATTTGACATACAAATGTTATTATTTCAACACCAATAAAGGTTAATGGATGTTCACCTAGTCCTAGATGTTTTATTTATTTATTTCTACATTTGCCGTAGTATTGTCGATGGGTTCAATAACACATCATGGAAAAGGGGGGCCTTGGCCAGAACCTAGTGGTATTTGGGGGGCCTTGTCATGGAAAAGTTTGGGAACCCCTGAGCTAATGTATCCCTTGGAGAAAGTCACTCATCTTGATAGACTGGACTTGTAGCTGGAATCCCATGATAAGGTTGCTGATAACCATATGGTTCAGTGGAAGGGAAATAGCGCAGGGGTTTGCAGTTCAGACTATGATCTTTATAAGTCCAATACGTAGCTGCTGTCTCTTGACTATAGTCCTGAGGCATAAACTGAACAGCTGCGGGATATTGGTTGCGATCTCTTTGGTCAATGGACATATAGTTATGGCCTCAGTGGTCTGTGTTGTAGTAACCACGTGGTCTATCTATGTGCCTAATACCAGGTTGAGGATATGTAGCATCTTCTTGATGGGCTAGCTTGTGTTGGGATTGTGTTGGTTCATAAGAAGAGAAAGGATGACTTGAAGTTAGCCGAGTTGCCGTGCCTGGTAGTCTCAGGTCTCCTAGATTGTCAGTGAGATAATCTCTTTGTGACTGACAGATTGAGAATGCAGAAGGTCACCTCATGAATCAACAGACGGTGCCCTCATGGGCTGAGGAGAAACGTCTTGATCTCTAGGCAGAACTGTCCTGCCCTCAGTGGCTGCTGTATATGGACTTGAGGAGAGAACTCTCTGATCTGCATAAATTATTTGCCTTGGAGAAGTCCGAGTACGGGGCATTGGCCTCGGCGGTTTGTTGGGCCAGTTGCTCCCCTCCAAGAGATCCACAGCTTTGTTTGTAAAGGACACCATTGCAGATTTTGACACCGTTACATCTGCGAGAGAAAGTCCAAACAAACAGTGAAGAATATCAACTTTGTGGCTTAAAGTGCTGTCTTTACGCTGTCTTGTAAAGATGATAAAGAGTATAGTTCAGATCAGCCAATAGCTCACCTGTTCCCTCCTCAGTAACATTCCCATTTAATAACAATGTTTCTTGCATTTGGTCTTCAAATTTGGTGTTGAAAAACACTGACGCATCAACAGTAAGAGAGGCATAGCCCGTGGCATTCATCTGGTAGGAGAACAAAGACACAATTAAGTCAAGCACAGGCAAAAGGAAAACCCTCAGTAGTAAGGCAGGAGTCACACACCTTTGCGATTTGAGTCAGGCACTGTCCGGTCAAATTATGAAGCAGACTGTATGGAAATGGATCACGGCACACTTCCACTAAGGCTTGACCAGGTACAGGTTGGCCATATGTACATCTGGGAAACATCATAACAAGATAAAGAACTGACCAACCACAGGACGACAAAATAAAGCATCACTCACTTGGCACAAGACTCAACTTTCAGTCCCATAACTGCAACGCTGTAGGTCTGCGGTGCGTTTACGGTCACGTCAAACTTGGGCAAAACTAAACCAGAAACAAAGTGCTTTAGATTAAGGCCTCAGATCTGTCATTGAATTGCCCTCAAACAACAACTTACCGTATTTTTTCACCTCAAAGACTTGGGATACTAGTGTTGGGACTCTTCACTCCACGGCTACTCCATTCTGCGACACCTAGGTCTTCGTGTCTGATGGACGCACGGACGCAAGGACGCACGCACGGATGGACGCACGCATGGACGGAAGGACGCACGCACGGACGCACACACGGACGGACGGAAGGACGCACGCACGCACGGACGGACGGACGCACGCACGGACGGACGGATGGACGCACGCACGCACGCACGCACGGACGAAAGGACGGAACGTCCTTACCAACCGTCATATTAAAAGACCACATTCAGTAACAAAAGCTAGTATAGACCATTACAATACAAGACTAAATTTTTTCATTTTATCTTTAAGTCATGTACCAATTTCTAGAGTAAGAATCAAAGTAACAGACATACCGACACTGAAGTTGCGATAAAAACTCAGGCCCTTGTACTTCAGACACTGGGGTAAACTAAAGTGGCATTCTAATCAGAAGTGCCACACACTGAAATATCCAGATTAAAAGCCCAAACAAAAAACCTGATTGAGGCACACAGACACCCTTTCAGCACTCAGACGTCTTCCTGGCTCCATGATCCGGATGCTCTGATCTACCACACAGAGATCCTGCTTGAGCAGAAACCATCAGAACGTTTCCCTCCGCAGGAACAGCCGTAGCTGGAGAAAACTGCAGAGACACCTGGAACAAGGACCAACACGCTGTAGGACACACACCAACACTCCCAAATTGAAAAATCGCCACATCATACAGTACCTGGTTCTGGAAATGCATATCGGTGTCAAACGGCACACTAGCAGCAACTGCATTCTCACTGGGAAGAACACTGTGGACCAGAATCTGCACTGCTGGAGCCATATCAACGCTGACGGACAACTGGAACGTCACAGAGCCACTTGTGACTGCATCACCAGCCTTTGCTTTAACCGTCTGAAATCCATGGAGGATGATCACTCCTTTGGATAAGACCTGACAGAAGACAGAGGTGTGCAAGTTGTGGAACAAACAGACCAGTAAACTTAACTACAAAACTAATGTCCACTCACCATATAGATTGTCATCGCTGTAGCTACCAGCCTCTCCAACAAATGAATACTCCACGGTCACTGGAAACGAAGCACCACATTTGAGCGGCTGATTGAGCTTCACTATAGTCAGTTCACTAAACGATGGGTTGTCGGGAGAAACAGGTAGGAGAAGCTGAACAAACCTTGTATCTGTAGTGAACTATGGTGATTTAGAACCATAAAAAAACCTCTGGATTAGCACTCGCCTGGGGAAGATCAAACTTAATCAGTATCAAGCGAGAGAATGTCTTAATTTTTACAAAATACAAGTCGTACCACCAGATTCAGATCAGCCTTAAGATTAGCAGTGTTTAGGGAGAACGCAGCCCATCCATTCTTGTTTGTGGTTAGATTCAACAGCAGTTTGTTGGGCCAGTTGCTCCCCTCCAAGAGATATACAGCTTTGTTTGTAAAGGACACCATTGCAGATTTTGACACCATTACATCTGTAAGAGAAAGTCCAAACAAACAGTGAAGAATATCAACTTTGTAGCTTAAAGTGGATATCTTCTAAATATGATAGAGTATATGGTTCAAATCAGCCAATAGCTCACCTGTTCCCTCCTCAGTAACATTCACATTTACAAGAAATGTGTCTTGCATTTGGTCTTCAAATTTGGTGCCAGTGACATTCATCTGGTAGGAGAACAAAGACACAATTAAGTCAAGCACAGGCAAAAGGAAAACCCTCAGTAGTAAGGCAGGAGTCACACACCTTTGCGGTTTGAGTCAGGCACTGTCCGGTCAAATTATGAAGCAGACTGTATGGAAATGGATCACAGCACACTTCCACTAAGGCTTGACCAGGTACAGGTTGGCCATATGTACATCTGGGAAACATCATAACAAGATAAAGAACTGACCAACCACAAGACAAGAAAATAAAAGCATCACTCACTTGGCACAAGACTCAACTTTCAGTCCCATAACTGCAACGCTGTAGGTCTGCGGTGCGTTTACGGTCACGTCAAACCTGGGCAAAACTAAACCAGAAACAAAGCGCTTTAGATTAAGGCCTCAGATCTGTCATTGAATTGCCCTCACACAACAACTTACATATTTTTTCACCTCAAAGACTTGGGAGACTAGTGTTGGCACTCTTCACTCCATGGCTACTCCATTCTGCGACACCGCGGCCTAGTCGCAGTCGCCTAGGTCTTTGTGTCTCACTGCCTCATCGCTTCTCTGGCTATGTGGTGTGCTCCACCTCCATCACCTCTGGTAATCCCCTTGGTAGTGTTGGGACTCTTCACTTCATGGCTACTCCATTCTGCGACGCCGCCGTGGGATGCAGTCCTGACTGTGGGCTGGGTCTCCGTCTGCCCTTCCTTGATCAAGGTCATCCCCCTGGCTGTCACCACCACCTGCACAAACCTTTCCTCCAGCTACGGACGGATGGCCGCCGTGGGATGCAGTCCTGACTGTGGACAGGGTGTCCGTCTGCTCTTCCCTGCTCAAGGCCTTGGACGGACGGACGACTTGGGCGGACGGGACGGACGACTTGGGCGGACGGGACGGACGGACGGACGGACTGACGGACGACTTGGACGGACGGGACGGACGACTTGGGCGACTTGGGCGGACGGGACGGACGGACGACTTGGGCGGACGGGACGGACTGACGACTTGGGCGGACGGGACGGACGGGACGGACGGACGACTTGGGCGGACGGGACGGACGGACGACTTGGGCGGACGGACGGACGGACGACTTGGGCGGACGGACGGACGGACGACTTGGGCGGACGGGACGGACGACTTGGGCGGACGACTTGGGCGGACGGGACGGACGACTTGGGCGACTTGGGCGGACGGGACGGACGGACGACTTGGGCGGACGGACGGACGGACGACTTGGGCGGACGGACGGACGGACGACTTGGGCGGACGGGACGGACGACTTGGGCGACTTGGGCGGACGGGACGGACGGACGACTTGGGCGGACGGGACGGACGGACGGACGGACGACTTGGGCGGACGGGACGGACGGGACGGGCGACTTGGGCGGACGGGACGGACGGACGACTTGGGCGGACGGGACGGACGGACGACTTGGGCGGACGGGACGGACGGACGACTTGGGCGGACGGGACGGACGGACGACTTGGGCGGACGGGACGGACGGACGACTTGGGCGGACGGGACGGACGGACGACTTGGGCGGACGGGACGGACGGACGACTTGGGCGGACGGGACGGACGGACGACTTGGGCGGACGGGACGGACGGACGACTTGGGCGGACGGACGGACGGACGACTTGGGCGGACGGGACGGACGGACGACTTGGGCGGACGGGACGGACGGACGACTTGGGCGGACGGGACGGACGGACGACTTGGGCGGACGGGACGGACGGACGACTTGGGCGGACGGGACGGACGGACGACTTGGGCGGACGGGACGGACGGACGACTTGGGCGGACGGGACGGACGGACGACTTGGGCGGACGGGACGGACGGACGACTTGGGCGGACGGGACGGACGGACGACTTGGGCGGAGGAGTCCATCCGGAAGGAATGCGGCTTAGCTGCAGGACAATAAAAAGCCAAAGAGAACCATGAAAAAAGGTTGGTGCAGGTGGTGGTGACAGCCAGGGGGATGACCTTGAGCAGGGAAGGGCAGACGGAGACCCAGCCCACAGTCAGGACTGCATCCCACGGCGGCGTCGCAGAATGGAGTAGCCATGGAGTGAAGAGTCCCAACACTACCAAGGGGATTACCAGAGGTGATGGAGGTGGAGCACATCACATAGCCAGAGAAGCGATGAGGCAGTGAGACACAAAGACCTAGGCGACCGCGACTAGGCCACAGCGCCGACCCCTGAAGTGGAAGCAGCGATCCTGAGGTTAGAGGATGAGCTGCAGCAACCATAGATGGAGGTGGAAGCTGAGGGAGGGCGGAGCTATTCATAGGCGAAAGAGGTGGAGAGCCGTAGGGCAGCGAATGGGCCGCAAGTCCATGGCGAAGAAGATGTAATGTCCAACAGAGGGAGGCCGAATGGCCGATGGTCCACGCTGGAGTCAAGGGTGGTAAGAGAGCACAGCTGCATTCTCACTGGGAAGAACGCTGTAGACCAGAATCTGCACTGCTGGAGCCATATCGACACCGTCACTTTGTTTGCAACTGGAGTCTTATCAAAACGAGTCACGGATATCTGTTAGGAATAATCAAGGTTAGGAAAGGGAAATAATTTGAAGGCTTCTGGGATAAGGGATGACATTTTGCTTACCTTTCCATTAAGCATTGATCCAGATTCAAAATAAGGAACCAGGAGGTCCACAAATCTGACTCTGCCGACTACAAACATAAAAGGACACCATTGCAGATTTAGACACCATTACATCTGAAAGAGAAATTCCAAACAAACAGTGAAGAATATCAACTTTGTGGCTTAAAGTGGATGTCCTGTAAAGATGATAAAGAGTATATGGTTCAGATCAGCCAATAACTCACCTAATCTAAACCAGAAACAAAGCAAAGCAGAAAAAACAAAACACAGGACCATCATCCATTTGATCACTGGATGGCAAACAAACCAAGAGTAGTAATGGTGTTGAAGGAAAGCTTCAATGGTTCACAAAGCTTATTTTCACCATCTGTAAAGTTTAGGAAACAACTCCAACATAAAAACAGAATGCTTCTGTTCACTTCAAAGCCTAATGGTACTGACCTGGTTCTTTAAGTCCATCAACAGCAAAGAGAAAAAGGGTGAAAATGAGCTTCTTCCAAACACAAATCTCCCTCACAGCCATGAGGACAGATCAGCCAAGACTAACCCTTATCAAGCCACTCTTCAGACTCTAATAGATCAGGAACGCATTCATCTCGTTAATTCAATTAATTAACCACCACCTGGCAGTAATTAATGTTATCATTTGATTAGGAGTTCCAACTGGCATTGATTTGAAACGCGACACATTATGGAGGTTAGCGGACGAATTTTCTAGTTGCCATATCAACACTATAGAATTTAAAAAAAATATAGCCTATGTATTTAAGATATTACTGAACATTTATTTAACCATAGCAAAAGTAAGTTTCTTGTGTTAATTTTGAACAAGTCTGATATTATTTTATCTTATATCTTGAGATAGTTCTTGAATGCTGGTGTGACAGCAGAAGACAGACTAGCCGGGTTTAAATCCTATATTTAAGAGAACTTTGTCCCAGTTGTGCAGGCGGGGCATGTTGTCACTCTGCGTTGCAATGAGCAAATGATTAGAATTATTGCTTTTCTACTCTATACTTGTATGAACTCTATTGAGAAACCATGAGAAAAGGGTGAATATATTCTGAGATTCAATGTTCAGAAATTATAAATAGAGGGACGTGACGTCACCGTTGGCCGGAGTGCCTGCAGTTCCTCACAGTGAGTCTCATTCATAAATATGTAAATATGAGTAAATATGAGAGTGATTTGCGCGTAAAGAGACCTTCCCGAAAACTCTTCTCATGATTTACAAATACATCGTAAACGTCAGATGTCATAGTGAAATGTGTGTGTTAATGAATTCCAACCTGTCGTAAATGGGATGCGCGTGCACGTTCATTCTCAATTACCATAAATCAAGTCCATATCCGACTGACATCTATATATAGGCATATAATAACATGAATGCGGATTTGATTTGATTAACTTCATTGTCTGTTCAGATGTACTGGACAGAAATTCATCTTTGACACTGGCACAACCACCACGTTACAAACCACATAAGAAATAAATAATTAATACACACTGTTATGTGGATAGCAGATGAACCCAATTGCAGAAAGTATGCAAACACACAACGTTTATTGATAACAGAAAACTGGGAAAACAAAACCCACGAGGGGGCAAACAACACTGGTCGGGAAAATAAAGACTAATAACACTAGACTAAGACTTTGACATTAAACTATACAGGAACAAGACAGGATTTTACAAGATCACAACTTCGTTAAGACAAGCTACTCACAAGGTATAGACATGGCACAGGACAGCAAACACAAGGGGATCAAATAGGGAGAAACAGACAATGACTACGTTTACATGCAGCCAGTTTTCGGGTTATGGTCGGGTTAAGGTCACTTTTGGGGTTTCTGAAACATTAGGGATAAGCCTGCGCCCCGAAGGAAGGATCTCGAAGCAGGAATGGAGGGGATGAGTCTGGAAATATTGATAATGCCTTTTCTCCAAAAAAACAATGTGAATAGCTCTTGTAATGTGCTGTTTTTGGCCGATGATCTTATTTGCTTCATTGATACTCGTGTTAGTTCATTCTTCTGTTTCACTGTAATACCATGAAACAATATTATAAGTTAAAACACTTTCAATCATTGATCTATAAACAATGGTTAAGATTTCTTAACTTCCTAAGTAGACTTAAACGCTGTCTAGTTTTCTTATGTAGCCCATAAAATCCACATTGTCTTGGAAGGAAAGTTTATCATCAATGATTGAACCAAGATATTTTGCTCTATCTTTACGCCTTTTAACATTATTACAATATATTCCTATTTAACACAGATGTCATTTGCTAATTACATAAACTATAAGCTCAACTCATAGCCCTTGGATCCAAAAGAGAGAGTCTCGACTGATGCATAAGGTGTCCTTTAGTAAGTTCACCAAACCATGAAGCTCAACTCATCTTCATCATCACCAGCACCGTGAAAACTGTATTGAAAACATATAAAATTTCACACACTTGGTTTCACGGTTACAAACATCATTACAAAACAAACATTAATTATACATCTAATAAAACCATACATATGGAGAGTATTATGAATGATCAATCATACCTCGCTGCGCTCACAAAGGAATGCAAACAAACTTTGATAATCCCCTTCCGTCATAAACGGGCGTCAAGTTTCAAGTTCATGAATAAAACACGAGATCTCAGATAAAATACACACATGTAGGCTCAAACACACGGCCGCTCCCCATTCACACCGCCAGATACCCTTAAATGTTCATCATCCCTTGTGCAAAACTACGGTGTCACCAAAAGGACAAATCTCAGTATTACAGGTGCACCAAATTTCCAGTCAATCACATACAAATAACAAAAGCACATGCAAAATACTTGAATAAGTTACAACATTTACACAAATATTTGACCAATAACCAACTCAAAGCACACATTAAACTCTCAAAGAGGTCCTTTACAATATATATTTGTGTGGTCCTCGAATGTGTTTGAATATTATCAGCCTTTTCACCGTTTGTATCACTCCGCCGGTCTGTGTTTGCCCAACTTGCATTATTGACTGTCTTTATGAGTGAACAATTGAACTTTAACTTAACAGATTAGTGCCAAAAATATTGATTAGCTAACCTTAGAAAGAAACAAGTTGCTGAAACCAATCTTTAATGCTAATATATAAATTGCTCATTTTCCTCTGGACACAAAAAGATTGCACTGGTGTTTGATTGAAATAACATCTATGCAAAATAATCCTTGAAAGATTTCTCATTAAGGCCATTCCTGTTCGGAATATGGATTGTGTGTCAACAATAAGCAGAAACATTCATTCATCATTCATTTCAACATTTATCCTCATTCTCATATTTAAGAATCTGTAATCTTTTATGCAACATGCTTTTAAAGCTATTGTTATACCATTTTTATGACCTTCAAACACCTTAAAATGCAGAAATGTAGGTCTGAGAAATCCACATTTTCTCGGGGGAGTAAGTGTAGAATGGACAGATGGAGAAGTTCACTCATCACTACCGACTCTCACTGAATGAGACTTAATTCCTATAACAGGGATGAAACCCCGACTCCAGAAGCTCATCTGAAAGCTGTAGATGACCAGACTCCATCGTTTCCTCATCATCGGTGTGCATACGGTACGAGGTCAGTGCAATGCTCATCATAATAAACCCTTCGCTGCACGTTTGTCTTAGTTGGGAACGTCTGACTAGTTTATGGTCTGTGTGAATCGAAACATTCAGACTTTCACATCAGAACTATGAGGGTAAATTTCAGTTCACAAACATCAATATTTTCTGCTCAAATTCAAATCTACAAGCTCTCGAATTTATTATTTTAAAACAACTTTCCAGCTAACAAGAGCAAGTTTAGTTGTGTGTGTTTCTACAGGAATGGAGGACACAAACACTTTTCTTTAACCCATGATTTGTCTTGCTCTTTATTGTCACATGTGAGAAAAGCAATAACTGACATTTAATTTCGTAACATATACACACTGCAAATTACTTTAACTATTTTATGGCAATATAATGAAAGCACTGATGTACTTCTCAGACGGACGTCTCTCTGTAGAAGAAAGCGCTGATATACAAGCTGAAGCAAGAGGATGATGAAGATGAAGGTTTTCAGAGCGGATAATCTCCATCTTTACTGTAGCGGTGATGATATAGAGGAGATCCTGCGCTCTGACCGACGACAGACCAGATGATGATTCACATTCAACAAATATCTGCTCGTTCACACACTCATTCCTCCAAACACCGGATGAAATCTTCCCGTCGGCTCCTGATGTGATGAGCTCATGATCTGTGTCATTAATGTGTATTTGTGAAGGTCTTGTTCTTGTAAAGTTGATCCTGCGGTTTATCTTCTCTTCCTCTGATGGCAGCGTAAGTCACGGTATCATGATCCTGAAAGAACAGATTCTGTCCATCAATGTTTGAACCACAGCGATTATTATTACCATTATTAGAGCATCATTTATCTGAGAGTCAAACTCGTGTGCTGGCGTCGACTCACATCCAGTGATTTTACTGGCTTTGTGTTGAAAGAAGAGACCTCAGAATAAGTCACATCATCTGTCTGCTCCTAAACATCAATGCAAACGTACAGAGAGTCGAGTTTAACACACATCTCTCTCACTATAACATGGAGAATAACACAAAAGCTTTTAAAGCGTAATGTTTGATGATTTAGAGACTCACATCGGCTCTTAGATCAGGAGGAATGGACATGTTGATCGTCTCATACGTCCCTTTATGTTCATCCTCATCTTTGACCTTCAGAATAAACAGTTCAACTGCATGAATGACACTTTATTGAGCTTTAAAGACAATAATCAAATCTAAATCACTGCATTCCTGAACTCACCGCAGAGTCGCCAGTCCCGACTTTATTATCTGAAAACAAGTGCCTCGTGAAATATGAGTATTTATGCACAATCAGAGTTTGTTGAAGCATTAAATGATTGTTGACTTGATATCTCGTTGAGATTGACATTACAGGAGCAGGAGATTTCAGATAATCCACATGTTTCTGAATGTGATGTGTTTGTTTGCTCATCTGAACTGTTTTTAATTGTTGTAAAGGAGTAAATGTGAATCTCACCAGCTGTTTTTCTGCAGATCAGCCAGAGAAGAGCAAGAAGGAGAACAGCGACTGCAGCGACAGAAATCCCTATGACTGAAGAAGAGATCGAGCTCAGAGTCAGAGACGGACAGGCCAGACTGAGGACAATTATAGACAGAAGATGTGATTATGAACCTGTGATTGCAGGAGAGTTTGTGCCTGGTGTTGTTGAATCAGCTTGATCTGAAAAGGATGAATGTTAGTTGAGATGCTTCATGGACACGAGGTGAGGCGTAGCAAACCTAGCAGCTTAAACTTTATTTGATCAAACTAAAGCGAGTAATCCAACATGAGAGTCCACACCGCTTGATCCCCAGATGTCATTTCCCTCTGCTCAGAGTACACACGGCCCCTCTCGAAAGAGTGTTAAAGTTAGTAATTCTGGCCGTCTGAGACTAATTTTGCCAATCCCTATAGATTCCTCTGATTCTGACTATAATCTGAAGTCTTTGATCGTTAGTTTGACATGTTCACCCACAGCCGATTCATGACCGTTGCCATCAGATTTGACCTCAGACGAGGATTTGACTCTCAGTCCTGCAGTGACTTCTTGAATTTTCCTCATTTTTCAAGACGAGTCGTGACCAAAATTACCGTTAGAGATTTATTTGAAGCGGCCATGTCAATCCCGCGTGTAATGCAGCTCACGGCCACCAAACAGTCATTCGTTGATGATGTAAAACTCCAGACATATAAAACACCAGGGTACTATTACTGTTACTATTATAAACCCGGCTTAATGACAGTTATGAGAAGTTAATGAGATAATTATTGGATTATTAAGTGATGTTTGAGCATTAGTGATGAACACCTGCTGTTAACAAGCAGAATCACTGAAGAACTACAACTGACTTCAGCCACAGCTTTAGATGAAATCAACTGAAGATAAAGAAGACATGAAGGCCCTGTTCACACGAAAACTGCAGATTTGTCGATGCCGTCCGTCCAAATGCAAACGCAGCATCTGGTCAATGAAACCGAACCTTTTTCAAAACTCCTGCCACGGTGAAGATTTTGAGAAATGTCTGGTTTGGTCGTGTAGACATTGAAACCGTAGATTCTGGCTTGTGATTGGCCGAACCGGCAATAACCCTTGTTCCAGGCTTCTGATTGGCCAACAGGGCTTTAGGGTTATATCGCCACCTGTTGGTTTGGCATGCTCTTGACAGCGCTTTATAGCGTGTTTTTGCATTTTCATGTGGGCGATTTTCTTTTCTTCTTTTTTTTAAACCCGTGTACGTGTGGACTAGGCCTAAATCTCTTAAGATTAGTGATGAGAAGTTTGGATCATTTTCTGTCTCTCTCATTCGATCTCGTTTCTCAAAATGAACGAATTTTTATTCATTTAAGTGGCTTTACATATTATACTTGTAACAACTACATTCCCCGAAATGCGATCTTGATCATATCTTTGAATTAACGCTTGTGCATCCTATTGGACATTTTTGTCTTTATCAGTTTTATTTTTTTAATCACTTTTCCTGTGTTAACGTGAACTGCATAAAATTTGGCACAGGTGTGTATTTTTATTGGAATTTTACTATTTCAATTCCATTTCTTTTTTTAAAAAAATCTATTTTGCACTTGGTACAAAAAATACTTTATCTCAGCTCCTTATGTACAAAAATGTCCCCATTGAAACCTATTACAAGTGGACCATTTAACTATAAAATGATGCAATCTTTGTTAAGAGGCTTTCATTCTGTTGGCAAGGCTTCAAAATTAAAATGTTTACCATTTTTTACCCGATGGTGCCATTTTTTCAAGTTTGGCCTATAAAGCAAATATTCGCTTTATTCCTGTTTTCTTTATTCCTGTTTTCGCTTTATTCCTGTTATATTATAGAGCCAATTGAGTAAATTATGCAACGATAATTGTGTGGGTGTGTTAGTATGGATGTCAGACTGTGGTTGGTATGTGTGTTATAAAAAAATAAATGTGTGTGTGTGTGTGTGTGTGTGTGGAAAATCTGTTACTGCGCCCTAACAACATCTTACCGAAAGCTCATTTTTTTACCTCAAATTTGCAACACAGCTTATTTCGATTTATGGCTTCGATTTTCTTTCCACTTTAGAGTTCAACTTGTTTCATTAAATATATATTTTATATAAAATAACGTTCAAAAACAATTTTCATTTTCATTTCAAACAATTTTCAAATTTTCAACTTTTTTCTGGATTTATTTATTGTTTACTACAGCAATAATCTGCCAAGTCTGTGCTCCAAAGCTTCAAATTTTAATGATAGTTTTTTTTTTTTGTCAGACATTTTTGTCCTCTATAGACCTATGTGTAACTTTTTTTAATTGATATACAAGGGTTAGGAAATCATTATAATGCAACTTCAGATGAAATCTGAAGATCTCAACAGAGGACGATTAAGCAACTCCACAAACAGAATTACCAGCTTCACTTATTACTGACCAGACTGACTTTATTACTGTCATCCATTTAAAAATAACAGATGTTGATGATTTATTGAAAATGTTTGGTCACCATTGTGGTGATCAGTGTTTCCTTTAGTCGGGCAGTTTGACTCTTGGCTTTTTATGTGAGTTTGTGGTCTTTGTAACATTGTTTACTGAAACACATCATTTATTGCAAAGAAAGGAACAAAGAGGATCAGGTGATATTGGTTTTTAGCTTCATAAAGTAGAATATACTAATCTTATCCCTGACCTGATTATATTTACCAACAATACTTTCTAGCTCTTCTAACACTGTTTCCTCACCTGAATACTTGACAGTGTATCTGACTGACGTCTGGACTTGATTTCCCCAAGTAAGCTGACATCTCCACTCTCTGTTGTCATCTTCATCCAGGAGTGTTGTAGTCAGAGTGATGATACAGTGATCTGGAGATGATGATGATGATGATGATGATGATGATATCTGATATCTGGAGTCTGTCTTCAGATCAACACCAGCCTGATTCACCCACAACAGCTCAACTCCCCAAGAACTGACCCGATCATCACAGGAGAATCTAGAATATAAATACAACTGACAGGAGAGAGTCACAGAGCGGCCTGGACTGATCTCAGTCTGTGAGGATGAAGATGATGATGATGATGATGGAGACACTGAAACTGAACACAAGACACAAATCACAGACTCTTCAATCATCATCTGAGTTTAAAGGGAGAATCTGCTCTTTTTATATTGAACACATAATCATAAACTCACCATGAAGAACATGCAGAAAAACATCAGCATCAGTTCCTTGTTGTTCTCCATTCACATATTGTCTGCATCTGTATAATCCATAATCTTCTCCTGTGACGTTCTTGATGTTCAGAGAGCAGTCAGACTCCAGACTCAGTCTCTCATGTCTCTCTGTGTCTTTATTCTTTATCCCTCCAGTAATCAGTTTAACTCTCCCTGAATCTCTGAAGCTGTTAGAGTGGGTCCATGATATTGATTTGCAGTCAGAAAGATGTTTATTACAGGGCAGAGAGACATCTACACCAGAACTGATGAACAGATGATCCGCTCCACTGGTTCCTGAAACACAGTATATCTCAGTGATCATGATTATATAAACAGAAGTATTAAATCATGATATTTGTCGTCAGTGTTGTTTTTGGCAGCCCTTTTAGTTTTAGTCTTAGTCTTTTGGACGAAAATGCTTTTAAGTTTTAGTCACATTTTAGTCACTTATAAACTTAATAGTTTTAGTCAAGTTTTAGTCGACGAAAACACAAAAGGTTTTAGTCACGTTTAGTCAATTTTAGTAAAGGAAAAAAAGGTAGTCTTTAACAAATTAATTTAGTTTAAAAAGTAGTGGAAATGGGCTTAGGTTTGACAGATTTAGCAAGTGTTGCAATTCATAAAACAAGCTAACCTTACAACCTTTGCATAATAAACTATAGACTTTCTCATTGATGGAGATGCAGTGCTGCCATTGCCAAGCTGTACTTCATTGTTACATCGGGCAGACACCTTTTATCCCCATATTTCAAGTTACAGTTTTACCCCTGAATATTAAAAGCTATTTTCACCAGTTATCACAATAATAAAGGAATGGTTTAAAGTTTAAACAGCAAAAAGCTACTAGAACAGCATTGAGCTACTAGAACATTGTACACAGATAAAGTGGTAACAGTGGAATCACTGTTTTACTCCAAAAAAGCCAAGAATAAAAACATTCTTGCTTTGGCAATTGTGGCTTTATTTGAGAAATTGCTAAAGTGCAATGAACAACATAATGCAACAATAAGATGCATATTATTTGTAAACACAAACATTTTACAACCCAGTCTATCTTTAACTTGTGCAAACTGCAAAGTTGCAAACATTCTGAAACAAAATAAAATAAATATCTAATACTGAGGTGCAGTATTAATACTGACGGGAATATCTGACGGCAGACATCGCGAACAATGTTTCTATGTGCAGTTTGTCAACATATAACATGAGACGTCATCTTTTTGTCTAATATCTGTACCTAACATTAGTCGTTCGCGGTCAAAACACTGGTATAAACACAGTTTGATGTCGCGATTTTCAATGCCCAGAGCCTGTTAAACTTGAGCCAACCAACCCCGTGACGTCACCTGCACAATGGCGGCGCCCTGGCGGCGAAAGATACAACGTTTTTTTCTTTTTTTCTTCTAAATGTTGACATTTGTAATGTTTCTTATATAATTGTTGATTATATTGGAAATCGATCTTGTAAATCATTTAAACTTGATTCACCGCTTCATTTCCCCTTGTCACAGTGTCTGGATGTGTTCCCTTGTTTGTCCACTAGATGTCCTCCTTCCCCACTGTGTCATTCACTTCTGGAACTACATTTCCCACGATCCTTGTTTTATCATCACTGATCATTGCACTCTGCCAATTCACCATTATCATTGTCATTCCCTGTGTGTATATATACCCTGTCTGTTTCAGTGTGTGCCATGGAGTCCTTTCAATTATCACACCACTTCTGAGGTCCTGTTTTCCTGTATATGTTGGATTGCCTTTGGATTTTGACCCTTGCTTGGACTGGTTTACGATTTTGGATTACCCTTTAAATAAACAACTGCTCTTGGATTTAATCCCTGTTTCCTGTGTATGGATTGTGACAGAAGGACTCCATCATTCCACCCTAAATCCAGCGGTATGTTTTACAATGTCCCTTCCCCAGCCGGCGAGCGGGAGAGAAGGGAGTTTTTTAAAGGGACCCGGCTGGTCAAG